GAGCTAAGAAATGAATCATGAGAGTATTAAAAAAGCTCGTGGATTAATTTCATGGGTTAAGGTCATTGACTACAAGAAGATAGGATACTGAAATGGCAAATGGCGCCTGACCTCCTTAATAATTAGGGAAATACAAATGAAAACAATGGCTACAATTAAAAAAGACTGTCGATCCAAAATACTGGTGGGGCATACACTGTGGTTAGGAGTCCAAACGAGTGCAAACTCTTTAAAAGCTGTTTGGTATTACAAACTGCAGTTAAACATATGCACACTCTATGAACTGGCATATATCTGCTCCTAGTTATATATGCAAGAGAAATACATCACTTCTGGTAAGACGTATGGTCAAGAATGCATATAGTAGTAGTATTTGCAGTAGAACCAAATTGAAATCAGGGAGTCCCCAGCAGTAATAGAATGGAATTTACAGCATATTTATACAATGGAGTACTACATGGCAAAATAATAATAATAATTCATAAACCACAGCTATATACAGCAGCATGGATAAATCTCATACATATAATGTTGAACTATGTAATTAGAAAAAAATAATGTTTTCTTTTTATAGAAAATTAAAAAATAGGCAAATTAATTTATGGTGATAGAAGTCAGAAGAGTGGTGTTTTGGGGATGAGAGAGAGCTAGTTATCTGGGTGCTAGTGATGTTCTATTTCTTGCCCTGGATGATGGTTCATGGGTATATTTTCTTTGTAGCAATTCAGTGAGATGTATACTTGCGAGGCGTGGACTTCCCTGTAGATTTGTATTACATTTGATTTAAAAAAAGCTAAGGGAAAAAGTATAAACAAACGTTATAGAGGGACATGTTTAAGCTATTGCCTAGCTCCCTCTGCTGATGTGAGTTTTGCATTCCTCTCTCCAGAGACACATGTTCCTGGTCAATAATATAATTGCATGGGGTTTTTTGTTGTTGTTGTTGGGTAAACCAAGATGTTTTGAAGGATGCAAAATGATGACAGATACTTAATACACACTTCTCTCAGGAGACTGAGGAGCGAGGAAACTTGTCTATAAGGCAAATGCTGGGGCTTACACACGTCGGCCTCTCTCATCACTGACCTGCTCTCAACGTCGAATCCTTATCTATCACATTTAGACTAAAACTCAAAGCCCTTTCCACGCCTGCAAAAGGCCTTGTAAGTCTTGTTCCTCCGGTTATCCGCACGTTCCCATGTTGGGGCATTACACTAGATGTTCCTTCAGTCTGCAATACTTTTCCACCAGATAGTCACGTAGGTGGCTCCATTATTTGTTGACTGAATGAATTGTTTCAGGTGGGGTGCTTATGTACATTTCAAGAAAAAAAACCTATAAATATTCATATTATTCAAAGTATGCAAAGTTGTATGCCCTGCCTTCATCTTCAAAGGAGAAATCTTTGTAGCTCAAGGCTCAAACTCTTCACGCCTTTTTTGGGGGATGACTTTTTCATTATACGGGTTTTACTTGTTTGTAGTAGAAAATTGAAAAAGTGAAGAGGAATATTACAGGGAAACCGCAAGTGGTTTCTGCCTCCTGGGACACAACTAGTAGAAGCGGAAACCCTCTCCTTGGGTATTCTCAGGCTCTGACCAGGACTGCAGCTCACAGATAGTATCTCATCCTTGAGAGACCCAGGGTGAGGTAGCACCTGATTCCTGAGACACACAGGGTGAGCTAGCACCCTGGTCCTTGAGAGGCCCAGGGTAGACAGGGCGGGGGGAGGGGGGGGAAGCTCAAGACCTACATCTAAGAACTGGGATGCTGAGCAATAGCTGTGGCTAACCCTGTAAGTGCCGACTGTATGCTAGGCCAGGCTTGAGCACTCTGTATATGTTAACAGGGTTACTTGTTACAACCACCTAATGAGTCACAGATGAGGAAAGAGGCATGGAGAGAGTCCCATCACACAGAGAGCTGGGCTTTTCACCCAGGCAGCCTGGCCCCAGAGTCCACATACAGATTTCACAGAGTTATTAACTCTCAGTGGAACCCAGACCAGGACTTAGGCTTGGAGGTGGAATGGGGTGGCCCAAGTGAGTGGAATTGAGGTAAAACAGGGAGCCCACTTACTAGGTAAAGGTCCGGAATGGAGTAGCAGCGCCCTCTGCAGTTAGGTGGGTCTGTGTTCCAACGGCACTCACGCCGTTTTCTGGAGACGCTCTCAGGTCAGCGGCGGTTTGAGTTGTCTTAACCTTAGACTCCAGTCCGTCCGTCTAACAACGAGTCTTATCCCAGAAGAGTTCTAGCCCTGGTCCTCCCGGGTTTACGGAAACCAGACACTCGTGCGGAGCGCACACCGAGTACCACGGTCAGAGCCCAGTTAGCTGCGTTTAAAATAGCCTCCCTAAAATAGCCACCTAGTAGGTGACTCTTAGGCAACTCCCCCGTAAAATTTAAATAGGGAATTCTTGAAAATCAAAGTCTTTAGGGTTAAAGGAGCAAAAATTCTAATGATGGAATTTCAGACTAAAGGGTGGATGACGTGGGAGATATTTGGGGACATAGGAAAACCTACACAGCCCCCCTCGAATCACATTTTGTGGACAACCGCTGATACTTACTGTTAAGGTTGCCCTGGCCCCCAGGACTGTGCTTCATTTGGTGTTTCGAGCAGGAGCAAGCAGCCTGCGTAATCGCCTAAAGGAGCCATCTTGTCCGATTGCTTTTTCTCCTTTTTCTTTACCCCTTTTTCCTGTTCCTTCCCTCCCGAAACATTTATGGCAAATCCTGATTCTCAATTCTCCACCAGGGATTGGGGCGGGATGGGGGAAGCAGGGGTGAGGAAATACAAGAGTGAGTAACACTGTCACACTCAGGCATTGCGGGGCCCTTAGCAGAGGTGAAAGGTGGTGAACTAGAGGGACAGACAATTGTCTATTAACCACTCCAAGTGTTTTAGTTGAGTCTAAACAGCTAACCCAAAATAGAAAAGAAAGGACCTCTACTTAAAGGACTGTGCTTGATTGGAAAAATAACATTCATTTGGTTGTGAATTGTGTTATTTTCTCAAATATATTGTGTGAGATGTATACACGTATTGTGTTATTGTAACATAATAATTTCATTATTATCTTATCAGAGATGGACAAAGGCATTTTACTCTTAACTGTCTCTAGGGTGGAGGCGGGATTCCTGTTTCCAAGGTTTGGGAATCCTTTGTTGTAGTAGAAAGAATTAAGTGACATTTTTTCTCAAAAGGCTATTCCATGTCTCTCAAATCTGACCTGCAGATGGGTTTTGTTTGGTTCACACTTTTTTTTAGCATTTTATTTTTTTATATATTTTTATTTATAATTGACATACAATATTATATTAGTTTCAGGTGTAAAATGTAGTGATTAGACAATTGTATACCTGATGAAGTGATCACCCTAAATCTAGTACCCACGCGACAGACAGTTGTTACAATATTATTGATTATATTCCCTATCCTGTATTTTACATCCCCATGACTATTTTTATACCTGGCAATTTGCACTTCTTAAATCTTTCACCTTTTTCACCCTTAACACTGTTTTAAATGGAATCAGTAGCCAAAATTAAAAAAAATTGAGGTATTATCATGAAAATCTAAGTCTCAGTTTCTTTGGAAAAGTCTGGCAATATGAGGCTGGAATTTCCAAGGGAGACAATTGGGTAAAGCTGAGTAGAGACCTCAAAACCCTGATGCGTTCCAGTCCCATCATTCCTCATGCTCCTGACACTGATGTCCAAGGGCCAGCCACTGGTTATCACCTTCTTCCTGGTTGGCTTCAAACACCTACATTACCTGCATCTCTAGTTGAGAAGAAGGAGGGCTCTGGCCTGGAAGAAAAAGTTTGCTAAGAATCAGGAAGGTAGATGGTAGTGAGGCTCTTTGAGTGTTGGGGACCTGTGACCCCTTGCACCCATTAGGAGGAGATGGGTCTTCTAATAGCTCATGGCCATGTGGAGTCCTGAGAACTCTGGCAGGGCTGGCGTTGGAGGGTTGGACTACCTCAGACAGTGGAGCTGCCTCATCAGAATGGAGCACGTGGCCTTGCAGTGCTAGACTGCAGATCAGAGACTCTTTCTCTATTTTCCTGAACTGCTAAACCCTGATTTTTTTGAGAAAGAAGACAAAAAAGAGGATGAATGAGGGTCCCGAATAAAAGACTTACTGGACAGGAGTTTCGCTGCAGGGATTTTCAATTGGAAAAAGAAAAAAATGTTACTTTTTTTGTACCTTAATGTTGTCTCAAATGGTTTAATTCGCATGAAATAGTCATAAGCAACTTGTGTGGTGAGAATTTACCTTATAAAACATCCATAATACTTTTCTCAGTGACCTGGTCACCACATTTCTCCATTCATTCATATATTTGCTTATCAGACATTGAAAAACAGTGTGGTTGCGGTTTAGGGGGTACAATAGTGAACAATATGTAGTCCCAGATTTCCCTAGCTTTTGCTAGTGACATGGATGAGAGATATGTAACTGGAGTGGAAAAGACATTACATGAAAACAAGAAGTTTGGGTCTCAATTTTTTTTTTCCTATCCTTTAGCTGCTGGGCAACCTTGGGCCAACTACTTAACTTCTCTGGGCTTCACTTTCATTTGTGAAATGGAGCTAAAATAAATGATCTTTAATTTCTTATTAGCTTCTAAAATACTTTGCTAAAGAACAGAAACAAATATATGGATCTAAATGCAGATTTTTAATATATATATATGAGGGTATAGCTAGTTTCTTTATTAGATTTTAGTTTTCTTCATATATCTGATTTCTAGAAATGAGAGTGGAGACACATTTTATTTTGCTCTAATATATTTACTCCTCTAAGATTTCATGTATAAGGAATTAAATGAAAACTTTTTTTTCTTTTCTTGGCAGTCACAGCTGTTGGAGAAGGAGGCCAGAGATAACTCTGTCAAAAGCAAATGGTTTCACTGTCTCTGAGGTTAGGATTTACTGTGGAAACCCAAAGGTGAATGAGGGATTTGGAGAAGAAGAGACCTGCAAGAATGTTATGCAGTTGGGGTAATGGGTTTATTATATCCATATACAAGTAAGCATTTATTGGCGTTTTGTCAAAAATAAAGGACAAGGTGAAAGAAACTATTTTAGCATAAGAACAAGACAGCTGCAATAGACCAACACGGAACTTAAAGACTCTCAGAAGAACGCAGGACCTGAAATGAAAACTTGCAAATTGTGTAGTTAGTTATCCAGCCAATAAAGTCAACTACAGAGTGCAAGCAACACATGACAATAAAACGCGATCACGGAGGCTGTCTCTCACTGCGGGGCAGAGGAAGGCTCACTGATGCCAGGGATCACTGATGGGAAAGGGTGTTAAAACCTCATAAATCCACCATATCTCTTTTCCATTTGGGGGCCTTCTTTCGAGTAACTTTCACCTTCTTCGTCGGAGGGCAGAGAATCCGCGAAGCGCTTCAGGAAGCCCCCGTACCTCTTCTGGTAGTCCATCCACCACTCCGGGCGACCCACTCTTCTCATGAAGCCTCCATATCGCTTCTGCAGCTCTTTGGCTTCGTCTTCCAATTGCGGACTTCTCTTTAAGCCTCTCATGAAGCCTCCATATCTCTTGCTCACTTCTTGGTCATCGCTGCCCTCTTGGTGGTGGCTACTCTCTCGGTTGTCTCCTGTTCCCAGCAGCTCTTTCAGCAGGTCTGAGGAATTGCCCAGGCCGTCATCTTCCTCTACGTCCTTCTTCATGAAGCCCCCGTATCTCTTGGCAAAGATTTCACCTTCATTTGCCTCTTCTTCGGGCTCCAGAGGATAAAGCTCATCCATTTTCTTCATGAAGCCTCCATACCTTTTCATGAATCCCCCATACTTCTTGGCTAGCAAATGGCTCTCCTCCTGTTTGCTGCTTTCTCGGAGGGTGCTGGCGCCACCTTGAGGAAGCTCGAGTTTGGACAGCTGCAGAAGCTCCCTGCAGGTCTCCCAGGTTTTGAGAGAAGGCAGTTTCCCTTCACATTCCAGTGTGCAAGCCTGGGGAAAAGAATTCCATTTAAGGATAAAAAGAGGCTTTTCCGATTTTATTAAGCAAACAGATTTACGTGGCCTACAATATACTTGCTTTGATATGGAAACTCCCAAAGAATAAAGTAATCTCCACTTTCTTATTAAAACTTTGTCATACTGAACAGGCAAATCAAAGGAAAATCGAAACGGGAATTGTGAAGAATTAATTGAAACGAATGAGAAATTTTCTTTGACTTTTAACAGAGTGCATATATTGTGACATTTCAATAGTTTGAAAACTTTTTTTCCACCTGATTTTAACCTAAATTGGCTGCCTGCACAACCTATTTTCACTGGATAATTTTCCACTGTTGATTTCATTTTGTTTGAGTTTTTCCTAACCAAAAGGGAGAAATTTATCCTAATTAGGGACATTGTCCCCCCCAATTTTTTTATCTTCTTGTCTTACAGATAAAATGAATATTAATAATATAAGGTTTGTTTACTTTCTTGTGTTAATATTTTACCTGAAATGGTATCCAATATTCCTGTAAACATTTCCAATCCTTAAAGAAAAACAATTTCAAAATAAGTTTGGAAAAAAAGACAGTCTAATAACTCAATTTAAATTCTATGAATTATTTTAATTATGACATATTGATTTGGTGAAAGTAGAGATGTTTTGCTCCTCCTCGATTGTTTAAAACAGATTTAATCATCTTGAACCAAATGTTTGTAATTATGTGGTCCAATATAAAATTATATATATGCAAATGTTTAGATTATTCATGTTTCTTTTCTTAACATTTAGTTATCTGTGTACAGAAAAAGTCTTTTCCAATGGAAATCATGATATTTGACAAAATAGTAATGATCCATATATAATTCCTTCCTTTTTATTACATAGTAATTAAATCATAATCATTGTAATAGTTAGGCTATATAGTCCAATAATCTTGTTAAGAGTCTCTTCTATTCAACAAATCACTTGGGTATGATAAAAGGAATACAAAGCGACATGAACATTTACAAAATCCATAGACTATTTCTGAATATTTCAGGAATTTTTATAGCCCACTGAAGTCTACTTATAGAACTCAGGTTACTGACACTTGATTTAGAAAACCAGGCCCTTTCTTGGTATTTAAAACTATATTGGTATATATTAATTCATATAAAATACACACATATTATTTTTTCCATGAAAGAAAGCATTTTATGAGTGCAATATAATTCTTTAAGGTATATATTTAACTCGATGATTATTTAAGCTTTGTGTCTAAGAAAATTAAATATATGCATATATAAAGACATCTAAAGGTGATCTAGTTAAAGAGATCCTGTTTGATTCTTGATATCTGATTAAGAAATCAAAACGTCATTAAAAACTTAAGATGTTCAGGTGTCAATCATATTTCCATTCTGCAATACAATTTAAATGATCTCTTTACCAAAACTTAATGTTGAATATTTTGTATACTATTACCAAAATGCTTTTTAATGTTGAGATTCCTTCAAAAACAAATAATCGCAAATAATCAGAACAACACACGTACTAAAAAGCAATGTTAAATTAATTTCTATGCTTTTATATATTATGCATTTTTGTAGCATTTATCACACTCTGCATTCTAGTGAAGGTCATATCAGATGATAAATTCGATTTGGATGCAAGTCATGGCATGCCTGCTTATCTTTGCATCCGTCACAGAACCAAGCACAAATATCTTTCATATGGTAGAAGCTCAATAAATATTTGTTACTTTGATTTTACTATATAGTTTTGGCTAGGCAACTTCATTTCTTATGTCTTTTTTGCATCTAAGCTAAAATTCCAGAGCTGCCTGTCATTCTAACAACATAGTCATTAACAAAGCTTTTATCACAGAGAAAATAACAACCGTAAATGTAAGCCCCCCATAAAAAACAAATCAGTTAAACATAAAACAAATTAGCAAGAAGAAAAGATGGATGGAGAGGACTGTTACCCCTATTTAAGATGCAATATTTTCCTCATAGTTTAAATATAAAGCTCTACTATGTGTTTTCTCTTTAAGGCCATGTTAGCTCATGCACATGTTGAATGAAATGAATCAGGTAATTAAAATGAAACAAACATTTAACCTGAAATATATGCCTTGGATTTTGTGGAATCCTTTCCTTAATTTTTATTCCTATTTTTTGCATCTACATAACAAAATTTCTTCAAAGGCTCAATTTCTTCAAAATTTCTTCAAAGTGAGGAGCTTAACTCCTTAGGTGAATACATTATTCTCTACAGAACTGTTGAAGTCATCACAGAATTTCAACAAATTGAGAAAAGTGCAAAGGCATCATTGGGGCACTAGTTAAAAATGAAGCTTCCCGGGTTCCACATTCAGAGATTCTGGTTCAGTAGGGCACCAGGGGCCGTTCAAATGTTATACATAGACTATAATTAGAATAAGATTTTTTCGTCTTCAGTTTAAAAAAAATTTTCCCCTAAGCCCCTGTGGTTTAGTTTATCTTTGCATTGTTCCCACATCTTTGGACACTGGCCACCTCACCTGTGCCTTTTTCATAGCCGAATCACACTGTTGTCATAGTAGGTTTTACAAAAGCACATTCAACACGACAGAAGTTGAATTTCAGCATCACTTGCCTGTGAGACAGTTGCTGACCTTTCTCTCCTGTCTACTGAGCTCTCCCCTTCCACTCCCTTTATCCCTCCCTCATCCCTTAGCTCTCCCCTATCCACAGGTGAGGGTAAGAGGTAGAGGAGCCTGATGTTAAAAGGGTTAGAGAAATGAAATCAGAAGAAAGGAGAAGAAATGTCACAATGACATTATTTTCGAGAAAGGTGTGAGGATGGTTGTGTGTCGAAAGGGCCCTTGGGATATATTAGGAGTTGGGGCGGTTGAGCATCTTCCTTGGGACAGGTGAAGCGAGGCGACAACCCAGTGCTCTCCGAGGTGCTGAAGATAGCACATAGCAGGACTCCCTCATCTCCCGGGTTAGAACAAAGTAGGTTGTGTGGAGACATCGCCGCCCTTACAGGGCCCTAGCTAGTCGTGGGTCTCGGAAGCTGAGAGCTAGAGCGGGACGTGGGTCAGCGTTGGGGGAACCGTCGAGACACTTGGGTCACCAGAGACCAGGAGATGCGCCGCGCGTGGCCGCTACTGATTCACCCACATCGCTGACACTCACCAGCGGGTTGATGTCTGTCGGGCGCGCCAGGCGGTAGCTGCACGTCGCGCAGTCCTGGCTGCATTCCGCCTGCACTGTCGCCAGGAGCCCGGGGCCGAGCGCCAGCAGCCAGGTGCAGAGTCTCAGGAACCGCGCCATGGGCTGCAGAGAGAGAGGGATGAGAACTTCGAGCCTGCCCGGGCGCAAAGCGTGTCCCTCCGAGGGACCCTCGGCAGGACAGTCCCAAATGGGGGTTTGTGGAGCAAGAGCGAGAGAGAATAGGGACACACTTCTTCCTGGGCCCCTGACCACCCGACCGACGCCGTTTGGAGAGGCTCAAGGACAGCTCAGATGGTCTTGCAGTTCCCAGGTTGGTACTGTCACCCCGAGCCGGGGGCACTAGGCTGTCTTTCTGGGAATCCGCTGCCGCGAGCCGGATTTTGGAGAGAACAGCCAAGACCAAATGCGCAGAAAGCGGGAGCCTGGGGAGGCGCTACATTGACCCAGGTCACAAACAGGGACCAGAAGAAAGTTGGGGAACCCCGTGCAATGAAACGTAGAACAGAGCAGGCGGCCGGCCCCAAACTCACGCAAGCAAAGGCGAGCTCTGGACAAGTTCACTTACATTGACGCTGTCGGGATGGCGCAGGCTGGCGGGAGAAACCGAGTCCCAGGCTCGAGGCGCTAGAAGGAAGAGGAGAAGAAGGCAGGTGTCAGGGGCGAGGGGCGTCCAGGGGAGAAGCGGCTGGGAGAAAGGGAGAGGGTGGGCAGACGCCGTCCTCACCGTTGCAGTCGTCGGCGTCGCTGCGGGGCCTCGAGCTGGGCTGCAGGGCTCAGGGCGCCTGCCTCACCTCTCCTCGTTGTCGCCGGGCTGGCGGCGGCTGGAGCCACTTTATAATTAGCCCCAAACCGAAGGAGGCGAGCGCGCCCCAATCGCCGGCGGGCTGCAGCTGACGCAGGCCCTACGCCAGCCCCGCCGACGCCGTCGCGGGAGGGGTCTGTCCGGGCTGGTGCACCCGCCGTTCCCTGCCCCGGAGGGGTGAGGTGGGAGGGAGAGAGAGCTTGATGGCTCTCCTCACGGCGGGATGACAAACCAAGGTAGTTAGGAAATTTGGGGAGAGGATTAAATGACATCAAGACACCCCCCACCCCCGCCCCGGGTAAAGTCACTGAAATTGCGCTCCCTGGGGTGCGGACTCTAGGGGAGAGCCAAGGTGCGGGTAGATGGACAGATTTAGATTTCTGGAATGCAGTGGAGACCCTCTGAGCTGGTGAACCTGCCCCTTCTGCGCCTCCTCCTGTGGCGCCCTCGCGGTCGCGGTGGGCACCAAGCGCAGCCGTCCTGAATGTCGTCATTTATCATTTATCTAGTGTTGTCCCCGCACTAGACTCCGAATTCCTTGCTGCAGTGTCTAACAGCGTCAGGCGCTTAATAGGCGCTCAGTTAATGGTTAAAGAAACAAATGATTGAAACTTTTCGGGAATCTTAAAATGCCGGGACTAAGCTTTTCCTCTTTCGCATGAGCAAGATCGCCCGCCAAGCGTGGACGCAGTGAAGCCTAATCCGGATCGGTGTTCCTCCGGGCACTGCGCGCCGTTCAGCCGCGGTGGGAGGGGTGGGGACCCACCTCTACCCAGCTCCCAGGCGGCTGCCAAGTCCGGGTCCCGACACCTCAAGCGCGCTGTCCAGGGTGTCCCTGGGGTTGTTTGACGAGTAACAGGGGGTGCCGGGCAGGTGAAATGTCAGCGCACCAGGACTGTAGGGGCGAAGCGTGGGGGGCGCTGAGGGGCGCGGCACCCAGGGCATCCACGGCTTGCGGCGCACACATCCTCTCGGCAGGGAGAGGCCGAGAGCCAACTGTGTAGGTGGCAACTGTGGACTGAGACCCGCTCCGCCATTTCCTAGCTCCGCAGAAGATTGCCAAGAGGCGAGTTACTTGCCTTGTCTAAGGACTCAGTTTACCCATTCTGGAAATAGGGCCATTCATAGGCTTCCGGGGAGATGCAAGTGAAATAATGGATAAACACATTTAGCCTTGTGCCCGGCACGTGGCAAACCCTAAAAATGTGTTTCTAATCATAGTTCACCCATCTACCTTTCGGTTTGTCTATCATCTACTTATACATCTATTTATCTATCTATCTATCTCTCCTGGCCCTAGAGGGAAACCGCAAACGGTCACAGAGCCCATACATAGAGAAAGGATCTCAGGGCTTTCCCAGCCATAAGCTCCCTTTGTAAACGACGGGCCACCACTTCAACCTTCGCGGGGACCAGCAGCCGCGGGGCTCACCCGCAGCTCGGGCCGCGCTGCATCTCCTATTTTGGTCACTAGAGGGCAGCGCTCTCCTGCGTAGGTTTAGGTGCGTGCGGGAAGGAGTCTCAGCGTGTCGGCTCCGGACAGGCACCCAGGGTGCCCGCGGAGCAGCACTGGCAGGGGCTGCCTTGCAGCAGGGGCGGGGAGAGCGGAGCGCCGGCCTGCAGCGGCAGAACGCCTGGCATAGCCCTAAGATATCTTGCCAGAGCAGCATAATGTTTCCCCTTCAACATTTTAAGCTCTTCACACCGGGGGGCTGGCTGGTGGTGTCCTTCTCCAGCTACTTAGTCCTGTCCCCAACTGAAAGGACAGTTGACATCCGTGAATGAGATTTCCCTTTGTTGCCCAGGCTTTAGAAGGCAGCCACCTACATGAACGACGAAAGTAGTGCATGAACATACCGTGCCTAAAATGAAAGAAAATTTACTCTGAGCACTGGCATCCCTGGGTCAGCTGAGAATTTTAAACACATAACCAGGGGCAAGAGGCTGAGACGTGTGTGTGTGTGTGTGTGTGTGTGTGTGTGAGACGATTGATTAAGGCAGAAAGGCGCCTTGGGGGTGATTTATCCCAGTCTTCATTCTATGCATGGGAGAAACAGAAGCTCAGAGCGTCCAAGTGATGTCCAAATGACCAAGTGACCAGCCGAGGTGGTGGGAGAATCAGGTTTCCTCACACTTCCTCTCCGGCGCCCACCTCAAGCCTAGTTTGTTTCTGTTGGAACAATTAATGCATACTTTGAGTTAGGTTTTCATGGTGAATCTGCACCTTTCTCTGCGGCTTTTTAAATGTCAGGGCAGAGAGAAAGAGGGTAAAAGAGGGCTGTACCCTAGAAGCGATGCAAGGGTTCTCAGTGTCCCGGCACCCACCCAGATACTTGGGACACAGTGGGTGCTGAATGAATGTGTGTTGGCCGACTGACTCAGGGAAGGAATGAAGTGATGAGAAGTGGATCTCGTTTGCGTACTCCAGTCGGTGATGTCTTCCCATCACCCGCCTCGGTCTGCCTTAGAGGCCAAAGGGCGTACATTTTTGTATTCATTTTTTATATTTGACTGGTGGTATTGTGTTGCCAGGAATTTCCCTTTTCACCATTCTTTAAATATTTATCAAGAATGAATAGATTTGGCAGTTACCTTCTGGGAAAAGCTGCTCTAGAAATGAGACTCAAAACAGGGAAGGAACCTTCTCTTGAAGCATTTAATCCAGAGAATTATCATTCCCAAAAAACTAGGGTCCCAAATATTGGAAAAAAGGAATTCATTCCAGAGACCCAGAAATGTAACTTTTAAAGCCCTGATGATGAGTGGTGTTTCACTCCGTTCCTAGGTGCTCTGCAAACAGGTAGGAGGGATTTTTTAAAAAGTCCTTTCAGCGTCCTCTTCCAACATTTCCAGTTTGGAAGATGCCGAAATTGAATGATGTCTTTCAGATTGCCCATGCCTCTCATCCCTGCCCCTTCCTGTCACCCAAATACACACACTTTATTACGGAACTTGATTTCCCTCTGCCCCTCTCTCCCTAAAATAGCAGTAGTGGGAACATAGCAGCTCTGCACTCTGGGGATTGTGTAACGTTTCAGCATGAAAACACCGTGTTCTAACATTTCCGATGTTTGGAGTGATGCCAGAGGCAGGGCAAACTCTCTCGTTTCCAGTTACAATCTAAAATAAATGCTTTGCGAGATAAGATTCTGTGAGCTGTGCATGTTACCACGAAGTGTCACCATTAAGGGGTCTTCCCACCGGCTCGGAGCACCACAGCAGAGAGGCGGGAAGCACAGGCTTTTATGGTGTGATAAATCCTCATTTTAAGGAGAGAGCTGGTATATTCTCACTCTCAAAAATCTGGGAAAAGCAATAAACCTCTTGAAAGACAAAGTAAACTGATATAAAGCTGCCTGAAAGTGAGTTTAAAAATAATAAAATGTGTCAATGTGTCAGAGAGTGAGAAAGAGGAAGAGGAAGAGAAGGGAGGAGGAAAGACAGCAAAATCAGCGGGAAAGGGAGACTAGACTAAGCGCGTCAAACATACTGTTTATATACTTAGAATTGAAATAGGCTTCCTAAATTTGGTCTTCAGCAATCAGGGGACGATAAATGTTAGTATTAAGCATAGGTAATTAGACCATAAGTAAATCAAGTTACATTGTGACTCATTCGATTAAAAGAAGATAAAACTTTAGATGCAGCCGATATATGGATTCTTGAGCAGCTTGACTTTTAAAAATGACCTTTGGAATTGTCTTGAGAACCAGTCATGTTAAAAAATTGTGTTGCCTCTTTGGACCTGGACCTTATTGAATAAGTTGACTTTGATTTGTTTTTGATTGTTTCCAAAATCAAATTCCAGATCCCCACCTGTAAGACTTGCAGAGAAGGCAAAAATATTCACTGATAGAATAAAAACACTCATGAAAGAAACAATTTCCACAGTTGGGGTGATGCCGGATGAGAAGTCCTAAACAGGTTTTAAGCAATAATGAATCATTGAAGTAAATGCAAAGACTCCAGGTGCCCACCTTCTAGAGGGGACCCTTCTGTATATGATCCACAGCAGAACTTTACAGTAATGGATACTCAGTAAAGTTGTTTCTAAAAACTAAGTTCCTACTTGTAACTACATCTTCCACAGCTCTCACGCACATGGGAGGGACTCAAAAGTCAAAGTGTTGTCATAAAATTATACAGGGGATGAGCTAAACCTCTGCAGATAATATTCACTTCTAACTCTATAATTACTCTCTTGATATCTACTTTGTTGTATATAGACATTAGAGCCTGGCAAAAATATTATTTTTATGGGCATGAATTTTGTGAAAATCCATCTAGAGAGGTGGCCTTGTACGGCACAAAATGGAGTAAGAGGAGAATAGTGCCATTGAAATATGTGCCCTCTTTCAACTCTTATCTGATAGATTTGGTGGAAGAACAAACAGGGAATATCTTAGCAGATATCCTAGATACTAAAAAAATGAAAGATTTTCTGAGGGAAAATAATTGTTTTGGTATTAAGGGTTTAGGATCAGAAAATGCGAATTTTAATTTCTGTTTTGCCATCAATGTGGAAAATAAAACCAATCACGGTATTTTGTTGAATGAGTAAATGAAAAACGGATATCCATAATGTATAGGTATTCAATTTATATTAATGACGCTTTTTACTGTGCTGTGTTAAATTCAAATTTCTGAGGCAAAATGATATTTCTGAGTTGTCCTGAACTGTCATGTTTTTGGCCTTTTAGTTTTGGAGCTATAGGGCTTGATTGCCTTAAGTGGAGTGTTCAAATAATGAAAATAAATGAGTACTTCGATGATGGTTAAAGATTATTTATCTACCTGGATCCAGTGCTTCAACTTAAAAATTACAATGATAGAGAAACTTATAATAACTACAGGTAGCAAGTTTCATAAAAAATGTGATAAGATATTGCTAGAAAAGAGGACTGGTAGATGGCATGCACAATCTTATCAACGGCTCTTTTATTTAGGATGTATTATGTGGCATTGATTCCCAGCGTTTCTGTGTGTAGCAAAGCAAATTAGAGGAGGTAAGAGGTAGTATCAGTGTTTGGACCAGGACACTCAGGGGTTCTTCAGA